GTTAGCTTGTTATACGTTACTGTTATAGATGTCATTTCTAAAACAAAGATGGTTTGATACTTTGACAAGACCATGGACGAGGCATTGGATCCAAGCAAAATAGTATATACAAAAAGATGTTAGGTAGTGTTTGGTTTCGGAGAATTTTTTTTTTATTAGGGAAATATAATTGATAGAGAAATGGTTAGAAAGTGAGCTTGGTAGGAAAATGTAAAAAAAGTTGTTTGGTTAACCGAAATATTACCAGAGAAATTTATTTAAATATGCAAAATCTATGTTCGGAAGAAACTTTGCACCTGTTTTTTCACTTCTACAGTTATCTCAAAATACTACATCTCAAGTGGTATTCTGTAACAGTGAATTTCATCCAAAAATTAACACAAAAGTCATTTTCCCATCTATCCTATTTGCCTAGTATTTTTTAAAAAAACCTGAACCAAACGTGGTATTTTTCAATATCTACTTACTATTTCCCTTCAATCCCAAAATAAACCTTCAACCAAACAGATAATTATACCGATTTCGATTTCTTTTTCTTTTTTCGTTTTCTTTTTATTTTAACGCTTATTACGTTGACAATTTTTTAATTTGCAAAATCACGCTTTTATTTTTTACTTTATACACTGCTCTTACATCCTATCTCTCTTTATGGATTGGAAGTTAGGTCTGGACGTAGTATGTTAATGTAAAGGTGTTCAAAGAAATAGTGATATAAACCAAAACATCAAAGAGAGTCACCACAAGTGTTATCATAGAGAAGACTGTGAAGAGGAGGTGGTGTGTAGGTTCTGGTGGCTTTGAAATCCTGTATAATAACAGCTCATAAATGTGATAAAAATCTAGTGTCTTCTCTACTGGAGAGGAGGAGTTTATATGAAAAGTAAATATTTCATAATGATGATAAAGAAGAGACAAAAGGTGGTTCAAACCATTAGAAATTGCCTTCACTATTGAAGTGAGGCGAAAAGAGGAGAATCCCCTGTGACGAGGCTCCAATGCTCATCCATGAAATATCATCTAAAAAGATATTTATTAGACTTTTGATATCTTGCCCATCATGCTGAATTTGTGTAAGAGGGCCAGAACACTCCCTTTTATTTAAGAAATCACATATAATTAATGTTCGTTTTTTTTTTGCAGATAAATTATTTGCAGTAAACTCAATATGACGTCGTTTTGGACAAAAATTATGATGTTTTTGTAATTTTAATTTATCTCAGGGTTATTATAATTTTTATAATTATAATTTTTTAATCTTTTAATCCCAAAACGACATCGTTTTAAGAGTAAATGCAAATAACTTAACTGCAAAAATATTTTTCTGTATAATTAATTGTCTTATATATGTAAGAATCTATACAAAGTCGTCTTTTTAAAAATAATAAAGCAAGAAAGCTAAGTGTAATTTTCTAAATAAGAAAGATATGCCACATCGTTAACAAGGTCTTACACCAAAAGTATGGAAATAAAAGGGAAAGGTTTATGTTTTGTACTGTAAATGCGCCTTCTATGCAAGTTGGCGGAATAAGACCACTTACTGCACAAACCGTCAACGTCGTTTATAAACTTTATTGAGGTTTGGACTGATGTCGATCTCTTGAATTCCACTGTTCTTTCACTCTCCCTCTGAAAATGAGGAGCAAGTGGTCCTAATCATAATGTGTTTTAGCGTATATGCGTTCGAAATGGCTTGTATCGAACAAAACTTTCGGTGCAACATATAGCACTAAGTGCATCTCTAATTCATTTTTAATAGTATACGTAGATAGATTTTACACAAATTTTTAGGATCTTAGAATCCGTCTACGTATCTTAATAAAAATAACTAACAATACATTGAACTTCAATAATAATAAAAAAAAATGCACTGAAATTAGTACATCAGTAGTAGATTTTTCCGCTTGCATCATCTTTTCTTCCCACATGCTCTTTTTATGTTGCATTTACACGTGGGGCCTTATATAGTTGGGCTGACGTTAAGACTGCAGCAGTATTTTGGTATTGTCTTTATTTATCTCGCGCTCTTGACTTGTATTACTCTTTTTTGTAGTTGACTGACTTGTAAGTTCAAACTTCAAACAAAGAGATTATCTGTTTTGAATGAAATGACAAATTATTAACTTTGGAAACAAATGTTAAAAACAAAAAGACATAACAGGTGCATAGAATTATTGAAAAATATATAAGTTTATATACAAGTGTTCATCCAATTTTATACTAATTTAAAAAATTAAATAATGTGCAAACTTTTAGACTTTCGTGTTTGTTATTTATATACAACAGTATGGTATCAAAAAAATCTTCCAATTCCAACACCTATTAGAAATGCTAGCATTACTTGATTGACACTCAAAATGAATGCCAAAATTTTGCTGATGTGGTTTAATGAATCTAATTAATTTATAATGATGATCCATTGGTGGGATTTCAAATTCGAAGATGAAACAGTAAATGTTTGATTGCAGATTTCAGTCATTTCACCATTTTTTTTTGAAGTTATCCATACTAACCGTGGCTGTTGTTTGTGAACATAAATAAATTAACATGATTCGAAACTGCCTCAAGATCCTCAGATGGTATATATATGCTTCTTGAAACAATTAAATAAATGTAAGAAATGTAGCATGGATTAACCTCTCATTTTGGAAAGTTGTATAAAAAAACGAGTCATTGACTTTAGAAGATTATGATAGAGAATCATTTCAACCCAATAGCAGCTCAAGCTTATAAATGATGACCTTTACTGATTTTATATTATACCTTCATAACATATCATTTCACGCAAGAGCTTTTTGGGCTTGAAGTATAAGTATTACACATTTATTTTTTTTGTTATGCCTTGTGCTAATTTAATTTTACTAGAAAATGAAGTAGTGAAGATCGAACTTGTATCAAATTCATGACCTCGTGATCACTTTGACTATAATACCATGTTAAGCAACCATCTCACCTAACATCTTAAGCTGATAAGCGATGGGCCTTCAATGATTTTATATATTATCTCTCTAACATATTAAAATTCCAAATCAATTTTTTTTAAGTATATGGGTAAAAAATGTAGAGGGAAGAGTCTTTCTGCGAGCTAGTTAACTCGCATAAATATCCCAACAAATTTGATGAGAATAGAACTTTAACAAGGGTGTGGTTGATTACCTTTTTCTCTGAATATTAAAGCTAATACGCTGGGTATTACTGTTCATTGTCATATAAATCCTAGACCTTTGCATGTGCTGCCAAATAATAGATGATTAAAATAGACTGATCGTTCAGTACTAACCATCAGTGTACGCAAGTGAGCCAACTCAGATGGTTGCAAGGAGACTGAGCAAGATGAGGACAAGAATCCTGATTTGAGTCTCATCAAATGCCACATTTGGAAGGGGCAAGAAATATCGTAATCACAAACCATGGTCACTAACTCTGAATTAGTCTCATAGATGACTCAAAAAGTTAACCTTGTGAGAATATCAGAGGATTTGATTCTCTAAAATAGATAATTAGGATCGGTTATATAAAAAAAAAAAAAAAAAAAAAAACTATCGGTGTGTTATTGTTAAAGAGAACATGTTCTCCATCTTTCCCTAGAGAAGGAATCTTCAAGTCCTACGTTTCCACTTTAGCACCAAAATCTAAGCCATCTAAACATTTCTCTCTCTTTCTCTTTCTATGTGTATTCAGACACAAAAGCAACGTACAAAAGATGGGAAAATTGAGATGGCAGTCTAACTACCATGTTCATATGTTCCTTAAAGTCTATGAGGGAAAGGGAAGATATATACATCCCGTTTCCGGAGGGGTTGGTTTGGCCATTTTAAAGTCAAGAAAACCCTTGGTACCTCTCTGCCCTGAATGATAAGATTTTTGTCCGTAAAACAAGGCATTAATATAAGTGACCCATGTCTTCCTACTTGTGGGACAGTACTCATCAACTTATTAATTAACTCGTGACTTTAATTTTGATTGCTGCCTTTAGGTCAACTTCGGTCAACCTAAATTAACTGAAATGAACAACAGAAGAAGCATTTACATTTTCTCTCAAAATATGTTCCTTCTCCCATTTACTGATTATAGAGAGATCTAGAGAAAAGAGAGAACTAGAGGAGAGAAAGTGTTTGTGTGTCTGTGTGTGTGTTAATTGGCAATGATAATCATCCACTTTGTCTCCTAAGCCCTAGGTCTAGAAATGAGGTTCCACCTTGCATCTTAGTTAGGTATAAGTTAGGTATAAAAGACATAATGTTAAGCTGATAGGCAAACATCCAAACATACAGACGCACACATACCTGCCATATATTCTATCTTTACATTGCTGTGGATATTAAGAATTGATGGCTACGAAAGGAGCATATGCATATATAGATCGTATATGATGATTGATGAATATGTCGAAGTTAAATTGGAATAGCTACGGTGCCAGCAAATGACATTGAAATTTGAACACATCTTCGAACGTTATCATGACCTTTCCCAGTTACATTGCATTGAATGAGAACCCATCTTTCTCCTCACCCTACCTATGTCTGGACAATATGATATATAGATTTACGCACACGTGTGCTGGGACAAAATGTTCATGCGCACTCAATTGTATTGTACGCTTTACAAGATCTCCACCCGAGTGGACAATTTTCTCAGTGCAGACCAAAAACGACGCGACTACTGGTTAGTGGTTACTCAATATGTGGACCTTAATTTCATGGAGTTCAACATTTGTACATATGATTCACTCCACTCCAGTTTTTAAAATCAAGAAATGCATATCTTAAAAATGTTTAGAAAACAAAATAGGTAGAAAAATAAGAGGTAATTAATCATAAAATAGATAGTGTTATTTACATAGCTAATAAATAATAAATCACAACATTATATATCAAAAATATCACAAACAAAGTGATTGATAGACGAATCTTATCTACATCTTAGAATCTCATGATCATAAAATTCGAACAATGATATAGGAAGAAAATTCTCATATTTTATATATATATATAAATTTGTTGTTACAGATGAAGATCCAAACTCACATGGTCGTTGACGCTTGGTTTTGAGTCATAACCATACCGGTTTTGTGAACCAGAGGTACCAACCCGTGTGGGCCCCATCCTGGTGTTCACTTCCTCGCCAGCAAACAAAGGCAATGGATGTAACGAGGGTTCACGGTTGAAGATAGGGTTACTTTGGACATGACCGGTGGTGGCTGTGGTGACTCGCCACAAGGGCAAGGGGCTTCCATTGATGGGTTGTTGTTGATAAGAATAGTTGCTTCCACGGCCAATATTGCTTCCATAGAACCTTCCACCACCACCACGGATCATAGCACTTGAAGAAGAGTTGCTATTCCATGTTGGAGCAGAACCGAACCTGTAGTTCATGAGGCCATAAACCCTATCATCAGAGAGGGTACTATGAACCATAGCTGATTGGATTTGTGCTCGTTTCTTGTGTTGCCGTTCTCGTTTGTGAGCGTTTTGGTGCCCACCCAAGGCCTGAGAAGTGGGGAAGTTTCTACAACAGTAATGGCATTCAAATCTGCGGCTACTCTCGCCATTCTCTGTGTTGTTCTCCTTGTTATTATTGCTATCAAGCTCGAGAGCATTGTTGTTGTTGTTGGTTGTTGTGTCGGTGGATTCGGACTCATCGGCGGCGGTAGGGGCGTCGGCGAATTCTATGCCGAAGAGTCGAATGGCCTTTTCTTTAGTAGGTGGTGGAGGGCGGATGAAGGGGAGCTGAGAGAAAGAATCAACATTCATGAAGTCATGTGTCTCTTTCTCATTAGTGTTGTCCATGAGGGGCAAGAGTATTTGGGAGTAGTGTGTACAGTGTAGGTTTTATATAGAGAAAGATGGTTGGAGTTGGAGATGGAGAAGTGTTAGGATGTGATGAATGTGGTAGCTATAGGAGTAGAAATTAAGATAATTAATGAGAGAAAGGGAGGAGGAGGAAGGTTATAGAAATTAGGGATGTATGTGATTGTGGGAGATTTGGGTGGGGAGGGAATGCTTTGTCCTATAAACAGAGGGAGAGTGGGGTCTGATATATGGACAATTGGGGCTGATCACATCTGAGAGTGAAGTTCAGGCCACAAAGTCTGAGAATGGTTTTGGCTTGTTAAAGTACTGCCTAAACAACTAAAGAATGTTGTGTGTGTGATGAGAAGATCAATTTATTTCAAATAAAGTCTTGGATTTGATAAAAAGATTAAGCTTTTGAAGAGCTTTAATTGTTCCCTTTAAATCCCACCACACCTTCATTCTGAATGAATCAGGGTGGGGGGCTGGGAAAAAAAAAACACTTGCACTTCCTTTCACTTAATTTTTTTTTTTTTTTTTGTATTTCCTTTCACTTAATTTTGGTTTCGCATGGAAGTGTATATATAGGGTGTAGAAATATATTTGACAAGCCTTGAACATGATTAAATAATAATAGGGTGTAAAATTATGAATATCTTAAAGATAGATAATTGCAAGGTGAATAGAAAAAGTAACTAATCGGCAGAGTTCTTTAGTTATTTGTGGATTTTATGCAGAAAATGTATAGAAAGTTAATCTAATGGTGTAAAACAAAAATATGGAAACTTTGTATTAATAATTTTATGTCTATTACCTGTACGCTGAAATAATTCTTCATTTTTATTTTCGAAAAATTGATCATATTCAATCATAATATGGTCGCATAATTTTCTACTTTTTAGTGGGAACTTATTTTCAATTATTAAGGTAGTTGATCTTGTTTTGTTTGAAAGAAACAAATACTAGCTAATCACTTATATAAGAAAAAGTTTTGGAGGCATGCAAGCATGGAATTAATCTTCTCTGGATACGAATCATTGATTTCTTCTTCTTCTTTTCACCAATATTGATGAGTTGCTTCAAATAATTGTTCTCGGTCCTTAGTATATTTTTATTAAATTTACGAGAATAACATGAGACAAGTTTTCTCTCCTACATCCCCTTCGATAACTGTGTCACCTTTTTATTTTATTTTATTTTATTTTTTCAAGTGGTGGAGCTCACTAATTTGTCTTTATGACATGAGATAACTATCTCATTTAATATGAGATTAATAAAACCCTAAATTTATTGTGTATGTCACAAAAAAAAATTGTTTGGTGAAGATGACAACTGAGGTTGTTTGACCATTCAAAGGTGTTTGAATGGTATTTTTACCCGTTTGGTACGCCCTCAAAGTTATTTTTTGGTGCGCAATATTTAGTTTCATGTTAGCTCTAGTAAAGCTGCATATATATATATATAATTTTTTGATTATTTTTTAACTAGGGAATTCACGGATTACATCATGTGGCACAATTGCAGACATCCAAAGCCCTTAGATTTCCTGCAATCTTCATCTCCAATCATATTCACGTATTCATAGAAGTTGACTTGTCGGAACCTGCATGTTGCAATGGCATGAGAGCATGGATAGTGGAATGCATTTAACCTTTCACATTGACAATCACATATGCTCAAATCAACCAGAATAACACGACTATTTGTCTGTATAAAATAATTAAAAGTCTCTTCAACCTCAAATCTATGTGAATTATGGTTATAACTACGAACAACATGGGTAGATGCACCATCTTGGTTATTTTGCATTGCATCAAGCAACACTTTATAGTAACGATTGCCGGTGGCTATTTCTTGACTAGGTTTGTTTTTCTCTAAAAACAAAGTATTCATTTGAATTAAAATAATTACTATTTAAAGGATTAAGCTAGGGCTTTGGATGGTTGAGATCCTGCCATATGTGGTGCAATCTGTGAGTTTCCCAGAAAGGATTCGTAGAACTTGAAGCTGGAAATAAAAAAAATAAAAAATAAATGAATTCCCAAGGGGGATCTGCAAAGCTCATTAAAAAATTAAAAAAATATATATAAAAGCAGTTTCGTGAGGGCAATCCGCGGAACTAAATACCCGCTACCGAAAAATAACTTTGGGGCATACCAAACATATAAAATACACATGATAACATTCCCAAATGATCATGAATATCTTACACACATATATATATCACAAACGAAAGCGTAACTTTTTTTTTTTTTGGTAGTTAACGAAAGTGTAACTTAATTTGCAATGGTTTAATATTTTAAAAATTAAGTAAGATAGATGTCAAAATATAATTCTCCACCAAATTGTTTATCCAACCTATGAAATATTTTCATCCAATATAATATGAAAAAAGAAGTAAGTTACAGTCTCAATTTTAATCATTAATTTTATTTATATTTAACGACTCTCGAAACTAATAAATTAGAATCATTAAGTTCATATAAATTAATAATTAAGATTAATAATAAAACTTATTAGTTTTATATCAATATAAACCAACCATTCTCTCTCTCTATATATTCTTTGGATCAAATTAGATTTCATTCTTCCTATCGTTAATTATATGTTTGATTAATTTCATGTCTAATAATGATCGGTTTGAAAGATAATACAATATTAATTATTCTTATTCTGGAATAGATACAGAGAAAATAAAAAACACGTATATTTCTCAATATATACAGTTGCGCACTTATTGACTTGTAGCTAAACGGGCACGCTTGTGGTCAGGTTAACGTCATATTCCTTATCCGAAAATTAACTTTCTTTATTAATTGTTTTGTTAATTTTTGTTGCAATTTATTCTTTTTGCGCGTGACAAGAATTCAGGACGGATAATTATTAATTGGTATTGGGTAGTAGTCACGACTATTAGGGGTGTCAAAAGGGGTTGACACGACACGAAGACATCAACACTAACACGACACGAATTTTTATTCGTGTTAAAATCTTCAACACTGACACAACACAAATTTTTTGCGAGTTAACACGACATGACACGAATGACACGCAAAATAGGGATCAAAATGATAATTGACAAAAAAAATTAAAAAAATGGATCAAAATTAAAAAAAAAATATAATAATAATAATAAATTAAAAATAAAATAATTTAAAAAATACGGATCGACACGAACACGCATACATCAACACGAACACAACACGAATTTTTTATGTATCATTTTTTCCAACACAAACACCACACAAATTTTTTTGCAAGTCAACTCTAACACGAATTTTCGTGTCATGTCACGGATCGACTCGCGTGTCAAAACTTATATTAATACTCCTAGTCACGACCATCTCCCTTTGCGTTTGTCTTCAGTTACTTGTACTTTTGCTGCCTCCTTGTACCCAATTACTCTATTTTCTATTGCCATTTTTAAAGGGTCAAATCATATATTTGGTTCGTTTATATGGATAATACTATTATTATATTCAGTGACAAGAGTGGTATATTTCGGTCCATTAAAGCAGCACTTTATTATTTTTAGTTCACTGATTTGGATCGTCTTAAATATTTTTTGTATCTTGAAGCAGTTGCGCAATCTATCATAAGTGCTGCAATCTCTAATGAAAAATATGCATAATGAAATAAAAAAAAAATTAATCAATAATCATTAATTCAAATGATAAAGAATTTGTTTCCCTTAGTAAGGATTTGGAGTTCGAACCATACGAATAAAGAAAACTGTTTTAAAAGAGCTGCTCTTATAATGGATTCGATCATATGTGAACCAAATTAATTGGATAATCGATGAATTTATGGATGTATAAAAATAAAAAACTAACATTGTAAATAAGTGACCTGTAATAAAAAGTTACTCATATACTAGATTAAAAATGTTCGGATCAATTGAAAAAATAATAAATAAAAAATAGCATGCCATTACGGGATAGTAGCATGGCAGTGACCACAGCCACCCTACTTGGACCCTGTTTGAATCCTATTTTTAAAAACAGATTTTTAGTTTTAAGAATAAAAAAACTCTTTTAATAATATTTGTTTTGTAAAAAAAGTTTTAAAATTATAACTATTTTTGTTTTGTTTTTAGAATCAAGTTTAAAAAGTACGTGTGCACTACTTTTATTTTATGTTTTGAATTTTAACTTTTATGTTTTTATGTACGCGTATCATGAAACCACTACGTTAATGAATTCGTAACTTCAGAAATACAAAGAAATTACCCAATTCAATTTCTTTGGTAAAGTCCATCTATTTCTCTCTTTCCAGGACCATATATATAGTACTATGAGTTGGTGTCGGTTCTTTATTTCTTTGTTGGCCGCTTCATATATGTTGCAGGATTTTGCAGAGAGTGGACCTCAAAATGTTCAATTGAATCAGACAACACGAATGGGTAGAGCATGTAATCAGCCTCTCAATCTCTTCCTGCCTTTCCCTTTTCCTCTGGGTAACTAAGTACTTCTTGTTCTCTTCCATTTATACCTTCTCCTTGTTTTTCTATATACCATTATATATTGTTTTTTTCTTCTTATTTATTCCCCCTATATTGTGCTGCTGTTCAATGTCCTTTGTCTTTGTTTGTTGTTTTATTCTCCTTCTCTTTATCTTTTCGATCATCTTTTGATCTTTACTTTTATCCCTCAATATAAATTACAAAACAAGAGTTAGCTTTCAGCCCTTGATTAGCCTTAAGAGTTCAATTTCTCTCAAATTGAAATCAAACTTTGCTTGCTAGACGTAATTTGAGTCTCGCTTTTAGTTATTCTGGGCTTGGCTCTCCATTTTTATCAAATAAAAATAAAAATTTAGTCTCGCTAGACCATTTCCCCCACTCGTTTCTTCGCGTCCTATTTTTGCAATGGATAAAAAAATATACCCCTAGGGTGACATGTTTCAATTAAATAATATTTTTAATTTATGTAGCATATATTATATGTTTTTTTTGGTAATCATGTAGTATATATTATATTTAATATTCAATAATTTAG